GGGGTCATGTTATTCATATTTAGTGTTATTTCACATTTCCTTCCTTAAAGAAGTTACCTCAAAGTCGAGTTCACTTGAAGTTCAAGTGTGGCAATGAACAGCGTGCTGGTTCGTGTTTCAACAGATGCAAATTCAGCCTACTGCGTATCAGAACATTTGAACTCTTTCAGTGAACTTTGTTTGGCCTTGTGATCTCTAAAAAATGAATATACTTATCTTGATGACATTATATGCTTTCATCCTCGTCAGTTATGTCAAGAACATTTTTCAATAACAATCCTGCCAAAACGCGATAAGGAAATTGAAATCCATATCTACGGAAGCGTAACTAACATTTGCAAACGGTAAAAGAAGTGCAAGTTTATCTAAATAGATTGCCAACACTTTTGTAGATGAATCTGAATAAAGAACAACTAAACAGAAGCTTTTTGCTTCCTCAGCATATTGGCAAGATATCTCAAGTTACTAAGCACGTAATGACTTTGCAGTGAGATAAAAACAAAAATTACATGTCTTTATTAGGACTACGACTTCTATAAGGCTTCCATCATCTCACAGGGAAATCATGGGCATACCACAAACTAGTCCATAAAAGCTACTTTGCTAAAAACTGTCGTATTCCTAACATAATTCGCAATCTTAGTGAAGGACTATCGATACCGCACTTCAAAAGAAACTCTGTTGTCACGCCACTCAAATCTATCATTCCTATGAAGGACAACCTAGGCAAACAATAGGCAACATCTTCTTCAGAAAGACCACAACAGTCTCTTAAGAAAGCATTCCAATCAAATGACGAAGACAAAGAACTCGATGCTGCGACACTTCGTTCCACTTGCATAGCAGTTTGAAGCTCTTCCATTTGCATCCTATTCTCCTCATTTGTTCTCGGTCTTATATTTCGAGCTACTCTTAAAGTAACATTTGATTGCTCCAAAGGCGAAACATATTCATTGGACATCGACTCAAAGACAGTTTCACACCATACTGAAAAGTCTTTAGAAAACTCTCCTCGGTTTGCTTCCCCAATTTTCCTCAATGTTTCGACATTATCTCTTCCCAAATATACTTCAAGGTTCCTTTGAGAAACAATTACCAATTGCAGACATGATCGACTACTTTCATTCAAAGTTGATCCCGAAGAATGTTGAGTCACAAAACCACTTGCATCTTCAACAATATTATGTTCTTCGGTAGAGAAACCTACAGATTGATCATATCTAGTACATACTACCACAAACTGAAAACGAAGTTGAACAGATGAAAAAGATTCGTCATTCAAAACGGAAACAACTCCCTTAAAAAATTGTTCGGCTTCTTCCTCAATATTTGTTTTCGAAAATTCAGTTTTGTGATAAAATTTGAATGAAAATCCAACAACATAACGTGTTTGTCCATTATGGAATACAACATATGCATCAGGACCACTAGAATTGCCCTCCTTTGGAACAAAAATACCACAATGTTGTAAATAATCTCCTATAATGAACAGAAAATGAACCAGAGACATTTCTCAAGATGGGTATATCATAAGATTTTGTAGATTCCATAGAATACGAAACATTGTCCTGTTCAATAAAAGAACCCTGGAAAATTCCTGGAATAGCAGAATGTACAATAGGCGAGGAATTAGAATGAAGAAAAGTTAATAAGCGAAAACGAAAGATCTTCATAAATACAAATTCAAAGAAGACTCCTTTTGCTGTTGAAGTGTCGGGAATATAACTAAACGGAGATAAAGGAAAAAGTTCAGTAGCCTCACGGAAAAATTTATAGTTGCTATGAGCTCGCAATATAAATTCACAACAACCAATCTTGAATTCCTCGCCCAAAACTTCAGAGTAAAACCCAAAAGTTGCAACCAAATCCATCAAATAAGTTGTCGTTCCACATAGAGTAATTGCAAAGTTGATTGGAAAAACTGTCCCGAGCTGATAATTGAAAAGAACAAATTGATATCGAAGAAGGGTTGCAGAATCTAATATCTCCGGAACAATAAACGTTGTTGTCTTTCGTACTACAGAGTGAAAAATATCATCTAACACACTTTCCATATTGTCATCGTTGATAGCAGGATGAGATAAGTTTGCAACTTTCTCTACTAGGGCTAATAAAGTATTCTTTACAATCAACGGAATACCCCCTGTCTTCTTTTTTAATAATTCTGCGAATCGATGTTGCAAGCCATCTGAGGGCAATAACCAGTCCTTCAAGGACTTTCCATCATAAGTTGCCAGCTCAAGATATTCATTAATATCATGGAGATTAAAGGGATTCAGCCGCAACATATTGAGGGTGACACTACTGGAGCGAGCATCAGACAGGCGGGCTGAGATTTCAGCAGTCCGACCTGCCAAATAGACAATTACCTTCCCTGTAATCAACAAATCACGTAAAATACGGAAGAAATTCCGGAAAGGTACATATTTTGGGTCAGACTCGACGAACTGTTTCGTGGTAAGTTCACTATAGTATGTGGTGAGGTAACTCAGGTGGCTAAGTTCGTCTATCATCAAAAATAAATATTGTTTCTGAAATTGTTCGAGAAGACAATTAATAGCTCCTACAGTATCGAATTTCTTTACCGTCCTCTGAGCCATCTGAAGAGCGTCCGTATCTTTACCATTTTGTCGATAAGCGTTCAAAACTATGTTATACATCAAAGCCTTTCGAAAACTTGGAAAAGGAGCATCAGAAAAGCTCTCTCTTAGTTCTAAGATAACTGACAAAGTGTTTTCCGCAAAGTGTTTCCAAGAAAAAATCTTCAAATCAACTTTTCCCGATGAGCTCTTGTTGAAAACCTCTGTCTTCGTCTGCTCTTCTTCTTCGTCGGCGAATTTTTTTAGAAACTCTAAAAAATTTTCACCAACAAAACTCTTGCCAGCCCCAAAGATGTGAGGGGAGAAACAAGCTGCAGGACGTGGAGTATTCAAGTCTCCCCTAACTCGAGGAAACTGGTAGTAATAAGTTCGAAGAATAGAATAAACATCTTCTTTTCTATCTATTAACGGTTCGTTCAAACTCATTTTACACGCCGCCGCCAATCCGAAATCAATTCACAACAAAACAGCGAATAAATGAATGACCGAAATACTTTCAAAGGAGACGAAAGGAGTGTATGTTTATTGTTGGAGCTGTTGCTTTATTTGGTGATTGGTAGAACTGATCTCGTTGACACTTCTAGACTTACATTGACAATAGAGAGAAATCAGGAATATTTTCTTGCTTGTCATAACTAGAAACTTTCTTTTACAATAGACAAGAAATAGGTTTCTATGAGTTTTTGTGGGGAATTAGATTGATGGGTACTCTTTCTATGGCTTGTATACTGTAAGAGAGTTTTTCTACTATCTTCCACACCATCCTACACGCAAACTCCTATATACAAGACTACATAGCTTTTTGTAAGTTACAGACGAAATACAGTGGGAAACAGAGAATTACAATGAATGGGAAGTCTATTCATGTGGAACCGGTCGTAGCACAGTTTATAAATACAAAAATATCTAAAGGAATTTGGAGAAGAGTATTATGTAGACTGTCATACTGACTTATCATTAAATACAAGCTGTTATGGATGTAATAGCTACACAAGTTGTCTATCCTTTGTTCGACTTTTACCAAGTTGTGAATATGTCGTATATAAAAACATCAATTAAGACTTAAAGATGCAAGTCACTAGTAACCATTAACGTTCATGCACAGCCATCGATGAAAAAAAGAGTAAAAGACAGAGCCAAAAAAATAATTTTACTAAAGAAGAAGCCTTGTATACTTGAGTCAAGGTCGAGTAGTGTACCAACTTGAAAGCTTCAGCAATTCTCCAACTGAAAGCCACTCCATATTGAAGAACCTTTACCCAACACGACTCTTATGTTGACTGAAAGACGTTGTAGTTCCTAAGTTACCGGCCAAGTGATTGTTGTGGAATGACAATACTTCAAGATTGGATATGGTTTCCTTTGGAATTAGAAACAATTATGTTCCACTCTCAAAGTTGTCCTTTGCAATGCAATATAAATAGAACTCCTATGTAAATAGTAACTTTCTAAAACAGAAAGTTTTTATATCTGTTTGTCACATGGATAGATTCATTTAAGATGTCTCTTGTACTATCAATAGTCAAACGAAATTTTTTATATCGAATATCATCTTTGCAACCGGGTTACTTTCCCTATCTAAGAGTCGGTGAGTTTTCAGTCTAATTCACTAAAACAGAGTTTGGATATATAGTGTTGTTAGTACTTGTGAGATAGAGTTTGAATTGCAAACCAAAATACTTTTTTTAGTATTTGTTCTTACCTTTGCTATATTTTCTCTTGGATCCAACAAGTTTCATATTTGTAGGAGCCATTTATATGAATTCCAAGGCTAGAAATGCAGTTTGAAAAAAACACATAAAAACGAAAGGAATCTAAGCTTTTATCGAATTTCAACAAGCTAAAACTCTTTTTAAGACCGCAGTGCAGGTCCTCAAGTTGGAGGAAGCCTCCAGTTTTTGCTGCCACTTTTTTCGTTCGTTGTCTAAAACCGAGGAAAACTCTCTTCTATTCAGTTAACAAAAGACAGGAAGGACAGTCCAAATGAAATCTACAAACAACTTTTTCTGTCTCAGTCTTTGAAAATTATAGTAAAAAAGTTACTGTTCTTTTTTCAACAGGCTAGAAAGACAACATAGCAGACACTTGAAGAATGTTTTGAGATATTCTTTCGGTAACCACTTTACTAAGTATTTGGACAAGAAAGGATATTTTTCATTCTAGTTGTATTCAACATGTATGTATATATAGTCTATTCATTTTGAATCATTGCAACTCTGCAATATTGCAAATTGACACCAAAAATAGCCTTCAAATGAAAAGCTTTTAGTTTTGAATTGTGTTAAAAGGTATCTCCGAAATATTTGAAAGATTGCACTAGTGTATTAATAGAATCATTCTCCTGCACACAAGTGCATATATCAATATCCAATTTCTGTAAGAGTCAACAACTCCTCTTTCTTTCTCCTCTGAAAATACTTGCAGACAATACTGACATTTGATACTGTGGATTCTGCTAAGAGAAAACTTATTTTCAAAAAAGTTCAATTCAGTCCAACTGAGTCTATCCTATCGAGTCTCTTCTCGTTTTTCATCATAGCATTTAAATCATAGTTGAATTCTCTCTTCCAGGTAGTCGACTATATAGTTGAGATGTTTTCGAAGGTAAACATGACTGCTTAGGTTTAAAGGCTTTCACTGCCTCCTCTTGAACTTTGTAAAAACCACAAACTGTGAACATAGATAAGAAAGCAAACTATATAAAACACAAAGCTGCTTTAGGGCATGGATAACTCCAAGCGAACTCTTATGTCTTCCAGTACGAAGAAAACAAAACTTTTAAAAGCTCTGCAAATTCAAGGAAAGATTTGTTTAGCTCCACTTGTCTCCTACTTTCTTCCCACTCTCTCAAACATCAGCTCGTTGAAGTGAGTCATAATACAAAAGTTATTCGTGTTAGACACTAGGCAGAAGACTCTCGCGAAATATAAACAGATGGATACACTGGTGGAGGCTTCTTTTTAGATATTTGTAACAAGAATCAAAGACAACTCAAAGTTTTGTATAAACAAACTGTCTATAAATACAAGAAACGTTCATTTCCATTAGGGACAAGTCAAACATAAAGAAGAAAAGATATAGTTTTATCCAAATTGCTCTAAAAAGAAGGAAAATGTCTCTTTCAACTTTGCATTATTCAGCAGAATAAAATTGTGGGTAAAGGTCTTATTCTCTTAAATATATTAGATCAATTTCGTCTCCTACTGAAAAGAAAAGAACATAAACGTAGAAATAATGAAAAAAAAAGAATATATAAGTAGAATCTTTGCAAAGTAAAAAAGAAAGGCGAATCTTGAAATATATGTGCAAGGAGAAGCGAAAGCATCACCACTTTTACTCTCATACCAGTCAAAACTCTCTAGAAGTTGTTTATGAAGAGAACAAACCAAGACCCTTGTAAATTTTGAGGCTCGATCCTCCTTGACGTAGGAAGTTTATGTACGAATTGTGTATAGACAAAAGTATTCCCAACCTTTGGTCAGTTCTTTATTATCGTCCTGTCCTCTGTATACTTTCCAATTCTAAAGTTGAATATACGAGGTTTGTTCCAGTCCTTATTATTTCTGTACACGTTTTATTCTTCTTTATAACTCGTAATCGAACAAAGATTGTTCCTTGAGCGTAATTTGCATGGAAGGAAAGGTTCTAGTTCTCACGTTGCAAGCCAAATAGAGTTAATGTCATTGAAATTGGAAAATGATCACTTTACACCTTTAAACAGTTTTCCTTAATTTTGAGTGACCAACAAAGAAAGGTTCTCAGATCGAGAACGAGTCAAAAACTGGTTGTAGCAAAACCGTTCTTGATTTGTTATCAAAATAGGCTCACAAGTAGTTTCAAATTTACCTTGCAGAGACAAGATTGATCAAACTCAACTCTGTTAAAGGGCTACGTTGTCGCTAGGGAGTTGAGAGGACCTTTGTTACGACACTGTTCTTCTCGTTTCACAAAAATACTGAGATGTGAGATTGATGGTATCTAGCACACTTATTGTTCCAGAAACTTTTTACATATCTCCAAGTGAAATATTTTCTTTCATAAAACTCACTAGTCACTCAAAATAATATATCTCCAGTGAAAGGAGAGAATACAAAGCGATCCTTCTCATAACAATCCAATCAGAAATTCAACACAATGGTTTGATTGTTGGATGAGAGGGAAGGCTCAGTGAGTGTTGTCAAGGCTGTGGACCTGGTTCAAGTTTGCTATTGAAACTTCTCAGACTTTAATTGCTAAAACAAATTCTTCGTTCGTTTTAGTTTGACAAGTGAATTTCTATTATCTACCTTTCCTTTTAAGCCCTTCAAATGTTTCTTTTAGAACAATCCATCGAGTCCTGAGCTCTGAGTTCCATGTAGACTGTAGTTTTTTTTAGTATTTACAACTTTTATTATCTCTTTGGATTTTATATACTTTATGCAACACTTGTTGTTATTTCACTTGTGGTCTTGTATGGAAATTTGAGGTTAGCATTGTCGAGAAGAGAACAAAGACAAAGGAGTTTAAGCTGTCGTTGAGTGTTGGTACTTTAGTCAATTAGTTGTCTCTCAAGTTTGGTTATTTTTGTCGATAAGTGTTCCAGAGCAGTTTTGCGTATTTATTAGCAGTTGATAGTCTAGTCTTGTAGTCTGTTGTTGAGATTCAGTCTTTGGGTTGATATTTCAAAGATATTCTGCAAGAAAGCAGTTAGACACTCTGTTGAGTGTTTTGTTCAGTACACAGAATTATATTCCGTATACTAGTTTTCCTTGTCTTCTATATGACTCTTTTCAAGATGTAGTAATCGGTCTGTAACTCTGCAACAGGCATTTCTCAGGATAGCATAGGAAAGTCTCGAGTCCATCATTGCTTTTTTTCAATGATTGTTTGTATTGTTGTGCTTTTAGATCAATTCTCTATTGATTCGAGTATGTCTAACGA